GGCAGAGGGGCTTTACCCCAATGTCCGGGGGCAGAACACACCCTGGCCCCATTGACTGTGGTGTGTGCTGGGCTCTCTGGGCTCACGGTGGCACTGGGGGGAGAGAGGGAGGTGCCACGAGCTGAGTCCTTGTGTGTCCCTGCAGACTCGTCCTTGACAGCGTGTTCGGGCGTGGAGAATGCAGGAACCCCTCAGAAGCTGCTGATCCTCGATGCCAGGTCCTACACGGCAGCCGTGGCCAACAGGGCCAAGGGAGGAGGCTGCGAATGCGAAGGTACCAAGGGCCAAGAACGTCCCAGATCTTCCTCTTGAGCCTGGCAGTGGCTCTTAGGGCACAGCTGGGGAGCGGGACAGCATTTTGGTGCTTGGTCCCTGGGAGCATGTTCCCACACAGGGATCTGGAGGGGCTGGATCAACACGCCAGGGCCAGTTGGATGAGGTTCATTAAGGCCAAGTGCTAGGTCCTGCATTTGGTTCACAGCAGTGCCACTGGAATGTTCCAGGCAGGGGCAGAGTGGCGGGAAAGCTGCCCAGTAGAAAAGGACCTGGAGGTGCTGGTTAGCAGCAGCTGAACATGGGCCTGGGTGTGCCCAGGTGGGCAGCAGGTCAATGACACCTGAGCTGTACCAGCAGTAAAGTGCTCACAGGGCAGTGACAGTCCCCCTTATCTGGCCACTGGGGTCACTTTTGTGCCCATCAGGACAAGAAAGACCACAAAGAGGGAATGGAGCTAGGGAAGGGTCTAGAGCACAGGAGCAGCTGAGGGAGCTGGTGAAGGGGCTTAACTTGGAGAAAAGGAGGCTCAGGGAGGACCTTCGGGCTCTGCACAGCTCCTGACAGGAGTGGGCAGCCAGGTGAGAGTCAGGCTCTGCTGCTCCCAGGGAACAAGGCACAGGATGAGCAGAAGTGGCATCAAACTGTGCCAGGGGAGGTTTAGGTTGGATATGGGGAAGATTTCTTCAGTGAAGTGTTGTCAGGCCCTGGCACAGCTGCCCAGGGCAGTGTTAAGAGTCCCCCTCTGTGGAGGGATTTAACAGGTCCATGGATATGGCACTTGGGGACATGGTGGCCTTGGCAGTGCTGGGAAATGACCGTGTGAGTCAACCTGAGTGACTCAATGAACACCAGGGGTGGTGTGGGAGGGGTGGCTGCACTGGGGTGTGGAGGCAGTTGCTGCAGTAGCAGCAGAGTTGGATTTGATGACCCTTGTGGGTCCCTTCCAGCTCAGAATGTTCTGTAGCTCCCTAGCTCTCTCTAAATGTTCCTGTCTCTTGTGTCAGAGTATTATCCTAACTGTGAAGTTGTGTTCATGGGCATGGCCAACATCCACTCCATCCGGAACAGCTTCCAGTACCTGCGTGCTGTCTGCAGTCAGGTGCCAGACCCCAGCAAGTGAGTGACTCTTCTCTAGCTGAGTTTGATGCCATATCTGTCAGTAACCTGGGGGGGGTTTCCACTCTGTTTTCCTTTTTTTATCCCAGGTTTCTAACTAAGAAAATGGAGGGATGGGAAAATGTTCACAGCACTTGAATGCTGCTGATTTCGATCCATTAATCCAGACGGGATTGTGGCACTGTCTCAGTGTCAACTGGTTGTGTGTATCCTCTGGGGATTTCTAAATTTTGGGTGTATTTGAGAATAATTAAATTTGGGGTTGGATTTTTTCCCTTCTTCCCAGGCTCCCTGGGTCCTCTGGGACATGTTTTAGAAAAGACTGATTTTTGCTGAGGACTCCAGGAAAACTGAAATTAAAATGTTTGGTTTTTTTTCTTCACTAGAGAGCTAAGGAACCATTCTTGCCTTTTTTCCCCTTTGCAGCTGGCTTTCAGCCCTGGAGAGCACCAAGTGGCTGCAGCACCTGTCTGTCATGCTGAAGGCAGCAGTGCTGGTCTCCAGTGCCGTGGACAGGGAAGGGCGTCCGGTGCTGGTTCACTGCTCCGACGGCTGGGACAGGACCCCGCAGATTGTGGCGCTGGCAAAGATTCTCCTGGACCCTTACTACAGGACCATGGAGGTAGGATTGTGTTCTGGTGCAGTGCATGTCTGTTCAAAGGCAGCTTTTATCCTGGAATCCCCGTGGAAAGGAGCAGCACTGCATTTGGGAATAAGCTTAGTGGTGTTTTTGAGCTGCTGTGGTGGGTGTTGAGTTTTCCCTGTTCTCTTCCTGCATGTTTTGGGTGAACTGTTCCTCATTCCTCTGCCCAGCCTGGGGAAGTGCCGTGGGAAATATCATCTTGTGCTCAAAGTTCAGCTGCTTCCCTGCTCTGAATTCTCTGAGCTGGTTACTGCACAGACATAACAACTGTTAGTTTGTGTCTGGAAACCTTCAACCCTGGTGAGCTTTGCTCCCAAACCAGGCACCGCAGTAGCCTCCTTCCCAGCCTTTACTGGTGGATGGGGCTTGCTTTGTCCTGCCACATGTCCTCGGCAAAGTCTCTGCAGCTGTTTTTCTTTTAATCACAGGGCTTCCAGGTGCTCGTTGAATCAGACTGGCTGGACTTTGGTCACAAGTTTGGGGATCGCTGTGGTCACCAGGAAAAGGTGGAGGATCAGAACGAGCAGTGCCCAGTTTTTCTCCAGTGGCTGGATGCTGTGCATCAGCTTTTGAAGCAATTTCCCTGCCTCTTCGAATTTAATGAAGCTTTTCTGGTAAGAAATACATGTGAGCAGAGAAAAGGGAAGGTCGTGATGTTTTACAGTACTGGAGTTGAAAGAAAAGGGGTCTGCAGAACCTGGGACATTGTGATGTGATCACAGAATCCCAGAATGGTTTGGGTTGGAAGGGAACTTAAAGCCCATCTCATTCCATCCATCCCCTGCCATGGGCAGGGACACCTTCCACTAATCCAGATTGCTCTGTCCAGCCTTGGACACTTTCAGGGATGAGACAGCCACAGCTTCTCTGGGCAGCCTGGTCCAGGGTCTCACCACCCTCACAGGGAACAATTTCTCTGTAACAACTCATCTAAATTTGTTTTCTTTTAGTTCAAATCTGTTCTCCTGTGAAGGGGTAGTGGAGAGTTTGTATACTCTGGTTTTCCTGAATCCCTTCTCCAGTCACTTTCCACCCCAGGGAATTCAGATGCCAGCAGCAGCACTGGTTTGATTTGCATATCTCAGAGCTATATGGGTCTGAAATGTTTTTTAAAAAATAGAGGAAAAAAATTAATCTCTGTCTTACCAAAAAATGCAGGACAAGGTTCTAGAGAGTCATTTGGTTCTAGAGGGATGGGTTTGGTATCAGCTGAGTATTACTTTCCCTTCATTTGAAGTGATCCTTGTCCTGCCCAGTGTGGAAGCAAGGACAGCAGTGAGGTCACCCAGGGCAGGCAGTGCATGAGTCATCCCAGAGGAGGGAAAGCCATCTCGTGCAGGCAGGAGCCCCCTTTTCCCCTGGCTCTGAGTGTGGCTCCCCCTCCCCGCCGCAGGTGAAGCTGGTGCAGCACACGTACTCCTGCCTCTACGGGACCTTCCTGGGGAACAGCCCCTGCGAGCGCGAGATGCACAACATCTACAAGCGCACGTGCTCCGTGTGGTCCCTGCTGCGGGCTGGCAACAAGAACTTCCACAACCTGCTCTACATGCCCGGATCCGAGCAGGTCAGTGGAGCTCCTGACCCCTCTTTGCAGGCTTTTCCCCTGGCAGCCCCTGGGGAGGGGCTGAAGGGGTTTCCGAGGCGTCGGGCTCTGACCACGCTGTCGCAGGTGCTGCATCCCGTGTGCCACGTGCGCGCCCTGCACCTCTGGACAGCCGTGTACCTCCCGGCCTCCTCGCCACATCCTCTGGGACAGGAGGACATGGACATCTACATGCCCCCCGGATCTCAGAGCCAGGACTTCAGTGGCAGGTGTTTGGACAGGTAAGAGCTTAAAGCTTCAGGCTCAAGGTGTTGCATACCCACAGATCTTCCTGCCCTTCTTGTAGTTTCTTGTAGTTTCTCTGTTATTGTTCTCATCTTCCTTGTAGGAGCAAGAGCTCTATAGCAGTGCCCCAGCCAGTTAGAGAAAGAGTTGAGGTCCCTGCTGCACCCCAAAGGCAGGAGGCCACACTGTGGTGTTGTGCATTTCAGCTCCTGTAGCTGCACTGCCCATCTCCACCGACCGCTGGAGCTGTAATGGGGAATATTTCCCTGTCCTCATCTCAGTTTTGAGTGAAACCAGGGAAGTTTTGGGGGGTTTATTGTAAGATTTGCTTTGGTTTTGGGTTCTAGATTACCAAAGACAAGATCTATGGATGACCTGCTCTCAGCCTGTGACTCCAGCAGCCCTCTGACCCGCACATCCAGTGACCCCAACCTGAACAACCACTGTCAGGAGGTGCGGGTGGGCTTGGAGGCCCGGCATGCCAACACTGAAGGGGGTGAAGGTGCTGCAGTGACCACAGGAGAGGCACAGCCCAGGGAGGAGGAGGAGGAGAACCCTTCCCTGCAAGGCAGCAGCCATGCTGAGCACGAAGGACCGGGCAGGCAGCTGGGCAGCCAGTCTGCTCTGCCAGCCAGTAGTGTCCCTGTGGAGGTGGAAGAGGGAAATGGAACACTCATGGAGGAGCTGGATGGCAGAGGTCCAGATCCTAATCCTTCTGGACAGGAAAACAGTGACAAGGTTTCCACCAGTTCTGGAAGGCATTTGGAAACCTGTCCTCAGGAACCTTTGAAGGCTGCTGGCACTGTGTCCAACAGAGGAGGCTGTCCTAAAAGAATCACCACCTGCCCAGACATTTCCAGCCAGGAGTCCCTGGCACCAGGCACCCCTTCTCAGGACATCCCAGGCCCTGCCCTGGGTATCCCATGCCCAGATGCAGACAAGGGCAGAGGTGATGCTGGCCAGAGCATGCCCTTCGAGGAGCCTGGCCAGCCGGGGAGGGTCCTGCTGGAGCAATGGCGCAAGCCCATTTCCCAGAGCCAAAGCAGCGAGTTTTCCTTCCTGGGGTGCAATTGGGACAGTTTTCAAGGCATGGTGACATCGCTCCCCAACGGGGAGCCCACCCCCAGACACCTCCTCTCCTATGGCTGTTGCAGCAAGAGGCTGAGCAGCAAACCCCTGCGAGCCCCAGGCCTGTGCCTCAGTGGGCCATGGTCTGGCAGGGAAGGTGGGAAGCCCTCAGCCTGTGCTGGCCATGTGAGCGCACATTTCGGGAAGCCCAGCCGTTTGTGGCTGCCCTGTCACCTGAAACAAGCCTCTGGTCCCAAGCACCTGCCGCCAAAATGTCCTTCTCCCGTGCCTCCTGTGTACCCGGATGACGACGGGCTGCCCTTCCCCACGGATGTGATCCAGCACCGGCTGCGGCAGATCGAGGCCAGCTACAAGCAGGAGGTGGAGCAGCTGCGCCGGCAGGTGCGGGAGCTGCAGCTGCGCCTGGACATTCGCCACTTCTGCGCCCCTCCGGCCGAGCCCCCCATGGACTACGAGGATGACTTTGTGAGTACAGGCCGCTCCCGCCCCACGCCGGGTCCCTGTACCTCTGTACACCTCCCTCTCCAACACACAGCTCTCCATACCTTTTAGGGGGGTGGGAAAGATTGTTCCTCTGTCAGTTGTGTCCCTGTCCTGGCCATGTCCTCCTCCACCCAGAGGTATCTCTGCTGCTTGAGGACCAAACTCCTACACACTCATGGATGCTTTGCCCCATGTCTGGGGGCTCGGGAGCCACCTGGGTGCCCCTCACCAGCACACAGGGTGTGTGGAGCAGGGCATGCCCTGGAGTGTGTGCCCAGCAGCAGAGGGAATTGGTGACCTGGTCTCCTTTTGCAGACGTGTCTTAAGGAATCAGACGGCAGTGACACGGAGGATTTCTGTTCGGACCACAGTGAGGAATGTTTGTCAGAAGCAAGCTGGGAACCTGTGGATAAGAAGGAGACTGAGGTATGTGTCCCATCATGGAGCTGTGATGCAGTGGGAGGGAATGTTTTTTGCACCTGACCTGGGTGGGCACAGCTGCAGAGAGTGGCCTGGAAGTGAGGCAGTGAGCATGTCCTTGACACATCTCTGCTGCTAATGGCTCAGGTGGGGTAGGCTCACTGTGAGGTGTGGCCCAAAGCCACCCCCAGTTTGCCCAGAGCTGTCACTGGGGGGTTACAGATGGGAGCTAACTGGTGTCTGCCCTAGGTCACGCGGTGGGTCCCAGACCACATGGCCTCACACTGCTTCAACTGTGACTGTGAGTTCTGGCTGGCCAAACGGAGGCACCACTGCAGGTAAAAATGTCAGTGCTCAGTGCTCTGGGCCCATCCTCCCCTCGGCCTGGTGTCACAAAATGCCCCTCTGCCAAGTCTGTTCCCTCCAGCTCCCAGGAGAAGCTTTTAGGTCTTTCCACTACATGCCAGGCCTCATCAGTTCCCTGCAGAGTTCCATTCTACATTGTTCTTGTTTCTATTTTTCCAAGGCCTTTGATCCCTTTCTGGGACAGCAGTGAGTCCCTGTCAGCACTAGCAATTTGCTTGCACTGCTGACCACAGTATAAAAAACACATTTACAATCCTCAGTCAGACTGGTGCTTTGCCCTGACCTGGACCAGAACTTGCTGAAGTTCTGCTGTGGTGGTCTCAGCTCTCTTCTCACTGGTTTTCTTGCTCCTTGACAGGAACTGTGGGAATGTGTTCTGTGCTACCTGCTGCCATCTGAAGCTGCCCATCCCTGATCAGCAGTTGTACGACCCTGTCCTCGTTTGTAACTCCTGTTTTGACCATATCCAAGTGTCTCGTGCCAGGGAGCTCATGAGCCAACATATGAAGAAACCCATTGCCACAGCTTCCAGCTGAATGCCAGACAAAGGACCTGTCTAAGCCCAGCCTTTTCTCTCATGGGTTTGAAGGGTGACTCTGCCTCCAGGGTAACTGTGAAGGCCTTTGGTGCAACACTTGAACACCAAGCTGGAATGCACTGTCTGCAGCAGCCTCGCTGCCGGGCTGGAGCAGAGGAGCTCAGATCAAAGTTTGCTGTGTCCCCACCCCGGAGCTGGTGGGCCCGTGTGTTGTAGCCCTGATGGCCTAGGGCTGAGAGAAGATCACAACCTCTTCCTTTTGTGGTCTGGAAAGCAACGTTTTCACACCTGTTTGCCTGTGCAAAGTCCCCCCAAAGCAATAGAAAGGCATGTTTAGAACCACCTCCCCCTCCAAAGGCAGGCTGCTGTGTAAGAAGGAAGAGGGCAAGCTCCCGATGGTCCCGTGGGCATTGGAAGGGCCTCAGCCTGGAGCAGATCTGTAGATTTTCTTCCTATGAGTGTGATTTGCGATCAGCTTGGTGAACAAGACTCACTAGCCATCACTAATTGATTTTCTCTCGGGCTCTGAAGAGAAATTCATTCCAGCTGAAAAGGGCTGAGCAGATCGTGCCCATTTTCAGGCTCCGCTGGGATCAGTGTCGCACTGGACTTTGTCCCTGCCCCCAACACCACGGGGAGATGGGAGATTGGCTTTTCACTTCTGCTCTGCCCCTTTGCTTTGTCTGCGGTTGTGCACAGCCTGGTGCTAACACAGGAATGGCACCCTGATCCTCTCCTGGCATGGAAACAGAACTCATGTTCCTGTGTTGCTCCTCCTCCCCTTTTCTGCCCTCAGCTCTTCACTTCCTACTGCTCTTTATCCTGAAAACTTGATACCTTGAGGGTATAGGCCATAATGTGTTGTTTTACCTCCTGGAATGTGCTGTCTGGTGTATGTGAGGGTTTCAGTCCAAATGCTGCTATATATTTCTGTGCACTTAATGTAACCCGAAGAAGGGAGAATGAAGCATCGATACCAAATTGGGGGTGGGGAAGGACACTGGCTGACATAGACACTACGGTCTGTGCTTTTCACTTTAGGATGTACAGCTGCAGTGAGAACCATGACGTGTGGCATTTGTTCAGTGGTGGAAACAATCTCTCTGACTTGCCCCAGTGCTACCTGAAATGCCTCTTGAATTTGACTTCTTTTTTTGTCTCCTTGTACAGTGGTCAAAGTTCAGAGTTGCCAACTTGTAAATGCCTCTCTGCTTCTTCTTTAAACTAGAGAGCAGGAATCCCAACTCATCCTAAGGACAAAGAACTGGGTTTAGAAAGGAAGAATGGTTTATAAAGTGGGCTTCAGTGGGCTTGTAATCCCTGGATCCCTTGAGGAGCATCCATCCTGCCTCCTCTGTAAGGCATCTGTGGATACTAGTCAGGAAGAAGAGTTTGAAAGTGGAGTGTTTCTTTGCAGAAATGTAGGTTTTCTTTCCAATATATTCTGCACTTCAGGAGCTGAGACTTGGTTTGTGGCAGGGAGGACCTTGGTCTGCTAACAAGGCAAAGGACTTGACTCTGTTGTGATCTCCCAGATCTTGCAGTAATGGTTTGTCATCTCCATCAGGAGGAATGAAATAAGGACCCTTTCCTGCACTTTGACTTGTCAGCCTCTGGTTTTGTGTAAGTGAAGCTCATCTTCTGAAGACCCTGTACTTAGACTGTGCTTCTTTTCCATACTGGGAACAAACAACGTGGCTCTGGGAAGGGAAGGCACCTTGCTTCAGATTCTCCCCTGCCTTGTACCTTGCAGTCATTGCTGAACATGAAAGCGTGATCATTGGCCTGGCAGAAGGAACTTGGATTTGCTCCTGTTTTGCACATGTTGGAATGACTGCAAGTGATGAGGAAGCCAGAAACCAGGTACTGCTGGCCCTCCCATTCAGGCCATTAGTCCAAACTGCTTTTAGCTCTTGTGAGTCCCAGCGTCACAATGTGCTGGCAAAAACTCCAGTCAGTTTGATGGCATTGTGACAAACAAAATGTGCTGTACAACTCGATACAGTTGAAATAAAATCTCTATATTAGTGCTGCTGGGTTTGGCCCCTTCTTTCCTCTGTGGGGAGTTCTGCTTGCCCAGGGTGTTTCAAGCTGCTTTCCCCTTGATTAAGGTGCATTAGGGATTTAATATCCCTTCTCACAATCAGAATCACAGGTAGGGCACAGAACACCTCTGCCCTCTTCCAAACAAACCTGCAGGATGTCCTTCCCAGGATAACCAGGGCCTTCCAGCCTCTCCTGTAAGGAAGGACTCAAGGAGCTGTTTTCTTTCTAAGGAGGCATTGTTAGGCAGGATTCCCTGCTATGAGGAAAGGCTGAGAGAGTTGGGATTGTTCACCTGGAGAAGACTCTGGGGAGACCATAGAGCCCCTCCCAGTGTCTAAAGGAGCTCCAAGAGAGGGACTTTGGACAAGAGATGGAGGGACAGGACACAGGGAATGGCTTCCCACTACCAAAGGGCAGGGATAGAGGGGATATTGGGAATGAGGAATTGTTCCCTGTGAGGGTGGGCAGGCCCTGGCACAGGGTGCCCAGAGCAGCTGGGGCTGCCCCTGGATCCCTGGCAGTGCCCAAGGCCAGGCTGGACAGGGCTGGGAGCAGCCTGGGACAGTGGGAGGTGTCCCTGCCATGGCAGAGGTGGCACTGGATGGGCTTCAAGGTCCTTCCAACCAAACCATTCTTTGATTCTATGATCCCCTCACTCCTCACTGATGTTTTCCTACCACCTGTTCCAGGTGGTCAGGGCATGGCGGTCCCACCTGTGGTGGGTGCTCTGCCACAGCAACACTGCTCAATATTAGTCATGACCAGCATTTTTGCAGGAAAAGGCCATTTATTATTAACTTCCATCTTTAGCAGTCCCAATGTCACCTGGAGAGGCAGCAGAAGGCTGACTGGTGGGACCTGTTGGCTTCTTATCCCCAGCAAGGAAAACACCACAGCACAATTCCCCCATGCACAGTTAAAAGATAAATCATTATTTATAAACAGTATTTATTAAGTAACAAGCTGCTAGGACACTTGTGGCTAGTGGCACGTCAGCCTGGCCACCCCAGCGAAGAGCACTGAACTCTCCTGCTTATTAAGCATGGAGGGAAGTGTTATCACCACAGGAACATAAAGCCCTCGTTGCCAACACGTTCAACCTGAGGTAATCAATATCTGCCGAAATGGGTCTGAACCCAGCACAAACAGGGACATCAAAGCCTTCCCCATCCATGCACCAACTGCCAGGAATCCTTGGTGAATTAACAACTGGGGCTGCGTGTGATGTGCCACGCTATCTCAGCAGCCACACAACAAAATAAACACACATTTCAGTGTAGTGAGAAGCCAGGTCAGGCTGGCAAGGGCTGGGGTTACTCAGGTGTGTTAATGGATAACACTGAAATGGCCAGGGATGTGGAGGAAGAAGAGGAAGAGGAACGTGATGTGTGGCCTTGTGAACTCTATGAGTCCTGTGCAGGAGACAGTTCAAAGTGAGGGACACAGGCAGGAAGGATTTCCGAACTTTCTGAAGTGTGTGTCTGTTTTCAGTGATAGTTCACACATTTCACTCCCAAAATCTTGGGCTTCTGTGAAAGTGAACTTGGGGTGCTGCCATTTGTTTATGGGACCTCTGGTGTCTGTGTGTCCCTAGATAAAATAATTGTCTGTAGATGAAAGATGCTGCATGCATCCTCCAGTATGTTTAAAGTTATCATAATTTGGAACAAAAAAAAGTTGACAAAAGCAGTGCACAGCTTTAGTCTCACCAAGCTTAGGCTGCTCATGCAGCTTCAGAATCACAGAATAATTAAGATTGAAAAAAAACCCTCTGAGATCACTGAGTCCAACTGTTCTCCATCACTGCCAAGGCCAGCACTGACCCATGTCCCCAAGTGCCACATCCGCACGGCTGTTAAACCTCTCCAGGGGCGAGGACTGCACCCCTGCCCTGGGCAGCTGTGCCACGGCCGGACAGTAAATTCCATGAAGGAATTTCCCCAAAATCCACCCTGAGGCTCCTCTGGCCCAGCCTGAGGTCATGTCCTCTCCTCCTGTTCCTGTTCCCTGGAGCACAGCCCGACCCCCCCGGCTGTCCCCTCCTGTCAGGAGCTGTGCAGAGCCACAAGGGCCCCCTGAGCCTCCTTTGCTCCAGGCTG